TTGGTGCCACAAACTGGGTCTCTGACCCCCTGGGAAGGGTGGAGGAGCACATCTCTAAGGTGGTACACCATCCAGCCTGGTGTTTGGCACCTTGTAGGAAACCTGGGGATATATTAAGAGGGAATTCCCATCCCCAAAATCCAGATTTCAACCTATAAACAAGGGAAAGCCCTTTAACATGGGTGGAGAAAAAAACCATACTGAAATAAAATCTGCTTGCTGGAAGTCGTGCTCAGTACACACACACACACACAAAAAAAGGCTTTTTGCTATGCTTTGCTCAAAATATCAAACCAATATCTGCCAGGACATGCAATAACCCCGAGCTGCCGGTGGCCGAGGCCCTTCGAGCCTGCACGCCGGCTCCTCGCCTGCCTCTTTCAAGTCCCCAACTGCTCAAAAGGCCACAGCCAGCACAACCCCATGGCTTTTTTTCTTTGCTTCTCTGGTTTGTTGGGGTTTTTTTGCATGCTTTCCACGAGAACTTTTTTAAAAAAAGACCCTGAAAGCATTAAAAAATAATAATATATACACATATATATTTGAAGAAGGCACTGGCATGAAGCCAAGCTCAGTGTTTTTAGCAGAATTAGCTGAGAAAAATCCAGTCCTACACCACAGGGCCTAAGGAAAAAAAAAGATGACATCCCTCCCCTCCTCCCCTAATTTGTCCATAAATATTTGAAACTAGTAGCAATCTGGATTTTTAGCCACTAGCACAATTCCCTTATTTCCTGCACATAAATCAACAGAGATATTTTTTTCTGGGAAATGTTGATTTATATTTAATCACTTAGAAAAAAATTCCCCAAGTAAAATGTAGTTTTGAACTGTTGTAGTTTAGGAAATTTGTAACATATAAAGTATTTGATATAATCCATGGGTTACTTTTGTAACTGACGTGCCTTTTGTAAATGCTTTATTCATATTTATGAAGCCCTAAATAGATCCAAATAAGTTTTTAAATAATGTTATAAAGCACCTGAAAAAATGCAGTTTTAACTGCAAATACTCAGCCAGTTTCTGCGAGGAGTCAGTATCGAGAGTATGTTAAAATATGGCAAGAATCTTAAAACAAGGCAAAATCTGCATGAATTTCCTAGTGAGGAGAAAGAGTGAGCACACTGACACAGCTTTCACTGGAAAATAAAAGGTTACTTATTTGTTAGGTTGGCTTACTGCAAATTTCAAAGGTTTGCATGTATCAGATTAAACTTAGATTCTTTTTTTAGTCCGCATAGATTTTTCTCTTCTCACCTAGGAGCAAATCTCTCCCACCCCCTTTTCTGTCCCAACAACTCTGTTAAGTTTCTCTTTGAGTTTGCTAAAGGAACCTCAAGGAAGAAAAAAATTGATATATTTTTTGCTTATTATATCACCAAAAATCCCCACTTCATACAGATAATGCCTAGTTAGATCACAGAGAGAGAAAAAGAGCATCCCTCTCGCTGTGGAGAGCTGTTGACACATTACATTACACACGTAATTAAAAACGTCAGCTCCAGCCAAGGTGGCCCTGGAGAACCTGCGCAGACCCTTCCGCTCACACCCCACGCACCCCTCGCGCCCCTCGCCCTCCTGCAGAAGCCAGCTGCCCGGTGTGAAACCTCCCAGCAGCCCGAAGAGACCGCGGCGAAGGGAGACGGCGGATGTTTCGGGCCATGAAAGCCCTTGGCACTCCAGCCACTTGTTTCTCTAGTTGAAGCAGAGTTTGCAAAAGTCCCGGGTTTTCAGTTGTTGCTCTCTCTTTTAACCGCTGCTCGCCAGCTCAGATGCAGCTGTTTAATACCTCCCAGGGGTTTTGTGAGGAAAATAATAGCTTACGAAACCTAGCTTCTCCCAGGTTCTACTATTTCAGCTTTATTTCCGAACAGCTGGTCCGTGTCTTTGTCCATCCCCTTCCCTCCCGGCCGCGACGAGAATTCGGCAGGAAACCTCCGGCCGCTACCTACACCCCGAGAGCCACCACTGCTGGTGGTGGGGGTCAAAGAGCAACTCTCAGCCTTGGAAACAGGGACAAAAAAAAAAACCCCAACAAAACCAAAACCAAAAAACAAACCCACAACACAAAACCCCAAACTTCGCGCCCCGTCTAGACAGGTCAAGGTGCAAGATGCTTCTCTCCCTGTTGCGTCTTCCGGAAAGGGGCGTGAACCGGAGCCAAGTGCACAGCAAACACCCGCGCCGCATCCCTGCCCCTTTAGAAGACTTCTTTTTTTTTTTTTTTCCCCTTCTTCTTCTTTTTCTCTCCACCCTCTGCTGATCAAAGTAGGAAGTTTTCATGACAACCATAGTCAAAGGGCCTGCATCGCAAATGAACTCGATTTCGGCGATGTTGATATATCCCAGCTCCATTGTCTCTTTTCAGACACAGTATGAACCCTTCCGGTCTCAATGATTACATTACAGAAGGACTTTCACATGTGGGCTTCATTTGCACAAAGGGGTTGCCTTGCTTCACCACCATCTGGCCACAAATCAGATAAATAAAGGCAGGAGAATTAAAATTAAAGCTCAGAGGGTTTTTTTTTTTTTTCCTCTTTCTCCCCCTTCATCTTCTTCTTGCAACGGGGCCCATTATGAAATCCCTCCCTCCCCCAGTTGCATTCTGGATGGGAAGACTACTTTTTATGAAACCTGGGAAAAGCAAAAAAGTATCTAAAAAAAAAGACAAAAAAAAAATCTGTGAAAAGCAAAGAAGTGTGTAAAAAAAAAAGGACAAAACATAATAAAAAGACTGCAGTCTTTCACTCCCAACCCTGTTTATAGGGCAGAGTAACCAATTTTACAGTAGACACAGTCTCATACAAAATCGCATTTTGCTATTAAAAGTCCATATCATCCACTGGGATCCAAATATTTTTTTTCAGGAAAATACCATGCCCCACAAACCAGAAAATAAAAAAAAGAGCTGGTGGTGGCAGAAGGTGGTGGTAGAAGTTGTGTTTGAAACTTGTGTTCCAAGCTCTGCTGCTTCTTCTTCCTACTGAGATGGGGAGTGAAGAGGCTCAGGCAGTGCTCAAACACAGGACAAGGGCTTTTCCTCTCCCCAAAAAATAAATAAGTGGCAGTTTCTGAAGGTAGAAAATAAAATAACCTATGAAGGTGTTATAGGCCCTACAACAGAAGGTGAGATTCAACCTCACAATCTAATTTCAGCCCTGGCATCACCTCTATTGAGGTCAATGTTGCTCCGGGAAGGATTTTTTTTTTTTTGCAATCTGATTGCTGTAACAATAAATTGCACTAAATTTCATCCCCTTTCTAAGCTACTTCCAGTAACTTAAGTCAGTTGATGGGGAAAGCCACTTTTCATGGCTGTATTTCTTTACACAGAGAGATACTCAGTATTGTGAGCAAAATGGTTTTACTCTTTAAATTCTGGAAAAAAAGATTTTTCCATGTCTATATTCCAATTGATATTCAAGTGTGTAGTCATATCCCCTGCTGCCCCTCTGCAGCCCCTTCCCGTGGCTTCCTGGCTGGTTGGGAACACTCATTGTGAGGGTGGTTGAGCCAAAGCCCACAGATGCCAGAGGGTACCCTGCCCAAAGACAGGGCACCCACCTCTCCTGAACGTTACCACATGCAGCAAAGCCAAGCACCGACCCAGGAGAAAATGCATCCACCCTCTGAAAAAAATAATGAACCTGTGAAATTCATGTGACAAACCCCACTAATTTACAGAAATTATTTTGCTGTATGTGCTTTATTTTGGATGTGCAAAAAAGTTTTTGTACATGTACTGTTGTCTATGTGATGTGATTCAGGCTGAGCATGGCTTGTATTGAACATAATTTTTAGATTTGGGTTGTATTCCCTTGCTACAGTAATGAAAAGTATTTTAGAGATAGCATATGCATAAAGAAGATGAATAAAATCAGAAAAGCATAACTTGCCAACAGCTGGATTTACACACTTTTTGTTTCTCTTTAATAAATTACACATTTGATGAGTAATCTCTGAATAACTTTGTGTTCCATCATTTGTTTTGAGTCAGACTCACACTTTGGGTAGCAACTGTTATTACATGAGCACATTTCTTGTAAACCCATGGACACAGAAGCTGCCAAGATAATATATTAATTTCTGTTGTCAATTTGTTGGGTTTTGCCTAGGGAAATTTTTGCAGAAATAAATGCAACTTGAATTTAAGCGAAGTATTTTTTTGCTGAGCTGCCTGGGTGTACAGGGCTCTAGGCAGTTGAGAGTGCTCTTTCTGAAAGTGTTTTAATAGTAAGAGAGGAATAAGTATTTGGACAAGAGGTGGAAAACTAAAGCCTTTCTTTCTATACTGTGAAGATTTTGAATAGTACTTGTCAATAAAGCAACTCCTATTGTAATTGTACCGGAGACATGGGCCTCCACCCCGAAAAAGCTGTCTCAGAGATACTAACCTCATTAAAATATGAATGAAAAGGCAGCCATCATTGTAATGGGAGAAAACCATTTACTTGGCAACAAACTTTATCTGATATCTTTAGCAAAAATATAAATATGATATCCAGCAGATTTTTCATTACATTTGATGAGGAGGTTGATGAACACACAATTTTTTTTTTTGAGTTTTCAAATAAGTCACAAAATCTGATTCTTCCCTCTCTGTTTTTTCTACAGAGCATTTCAAAATTGGAAGCACCTTCAAATCATTTGAAATCTTTAAAAAGGGGGAAAAAAAGAGAGCTTTGTTTCTTTGGGGTTTTTTTTTTGTGGTTGAAGGAAATGTTTGCATTTATTTTTGTGGGTTTTTTTTTTTGTTTTTTTTTTTTTTTTCCAGAATACCTCATCCAATTTCAAAACAAAACAAGAGAATTCATTACGGACTACTGTGACGACACCTTAATAACAGTCAATTATAGGGTGCTCAAATGCCTGTTCATTACTATGTCTCTGTTAATCTAGTCCTAAATTTCTTGCTTGATAGATACCACAACCAGCCAAGAATACAATTGCATTACAAAGTGCAATGAAATATATACAAAATGTAACTGCAGGAAGTAGGCAGTTTCAAAATAACCAAGCTGTCAATCAAACATTTGTCAAAACAATTAGACATATCTGGTCATTTTTTAAATAAAATATAGACAGTCTCGGAATGAGTAATATACAAAGGTTTAGGTATAAATAGGAATTGTTTCAAAGACTTGGAAATAAGTCTTTTAAAATGTTTCATGTAGTTTAATCATTATCTTTTCATCCACAAAAGTGTTCAAATCATTTTTGATATTAGTTAAAAGTCAATATTTAGAAGCGAAAATTCAAACCTCCTTTGCTTTAGGCTAAAACAGGAGCAACATGAATGCTGAGCTTCTCTAAAGGCTGATGGGATATATAATTAGCTATTATGTTAATTGAATCCACTGTGAGTTTGTTGTATGAGATTTCTTCATATAATATGCAAATAGCTTCGAAGGTTTAGTTTTATTAGACAATATAATTAGAAATCTTCTAAAGGAGTGAATTCTAATGAGGTGTAATAAAGCTTTGTAAAATATCTGTTTGCTGGGTGAGCAGACCACCTGGGCTTAATCAATACCAGGAACTTCATTGTGTAACGGCATATTTTAAAGAAAGTTTAAGAATTTACCTTTCTAGTTCCACTCATCACAGTTTTATTTTAGGAGAGTTCATTTTAGCAAGGAAGAGGGTGAAATTCTTGTCATAAAGAAGGAGGTGAAATTCTTGTAATCTGAGGGGAGGAAATAACTTCAAAAATAAACGATTTGAATTCTGCTTATTTAAAGGAAAATAAAAATAAATTAAAAAAACCTCCTCTCCCAGCTGTAGCATCAGTTATGTGCATCTCGAGACGCTTAAAGTGAAACGTTACATGAGCAAAGTTAGCCATTATTCCTGCCATTAAATGCCTGCTTCAAGCAGATGTACATACTTTAGCTTCTCTAGTGTAACTAATCAGCGTAACTTCACTTTTAGCAAGATAGCCCAACATGTTAATATGTGGAGTTAAGCACTCTCTTCTAAAGGAAGAAATTCACACCAGTGTATTCTGGAGCTGGTCCTGAATTCCACCCTTGCATTCCACTTACTTTAAGACCACCACTAAAGACAAAGCTTAAACTATTTTAGCTAATGCCAGAATGCCAAAAATGTGTAATCTCTCACCTAATTTGCCTTGTTCGCACTTTACACTGTGCCAAAGCTGCACTATTCAGTCTTAATATTAATTGAAAATAATAAAGGCAGGACACTTTGTGCTGGCGTAGCATTCAGAGAAGGGCATTTTTTTCCCCCTCATTGATACAATAATCAGTATCAACACATTAAGAAAGAACCAGAAGCTCTGATTAAAGCAGTAGATTTAACTAAACCAAAACCCCCACATTATCACGACAAGTGCCCTGACAGCCCCGTTAGAGAGGGGAGGCAGAAGACGACCCAAACCACAGCCAGGCGAGGTGTCCATGCAGCCAGGCTGCAGATGCCTAGAAAATGTTTCATTTCTTTGTGCCATACCCAAATATCTCTGGTCCTTCCCTTCACAGAGATGCTGTGCAATGCTCTGCAATGCTAAAAATCCAGCAAACCCATACTTAATAAAGGTGATATTGTGAATTTATTATAAACTTATCATGTCTCATATAAGATTTTATAAACCTGCTGTATCTAAGTCTGACTGGAGACCTAGCTGCTACTAGTAGCTGTCCATTAACGCTTCTCTGATCCACACACGTAAAATCTCTAGCAGCAAGTGCTTGTTCCTCTGAATAATAAGAATCTCAGCACAGCAGAAAAAGATGACATTGTACAAATAATTTTCAGCTGAACCCCCCCCCCCAAAACCTGTGTTTATTTTCCCAGGTTGTGCTCTAAGCTGTTCAGAAGTTGTTTGCAATCTCCCCAAAACTACCCCCTTTCCCACCACCACTTGAGGAAACAAATAGTCAGTCAAAGCCAACCTTCCTCCTCAAATGTGAACTTTATTCACACTCCGTTTTTTTATTTCTTCCTTAGATTCAAAGTGTCTGGAGAAGATAGCCTGGAGCAGCCTTCAGAAATCAGGACCATGCCCTGGAGAATTAGTGTCAGAAGAGGATGTTACCTGTTTGCCTTGCCTGCTATCCTCCCTTTATCCCCTAAGGGAACAAAACCACGCGGATTCTGCCTAATGTTAATTAAATCACTCTGTTAATTATAAGTAAGGTGCTTTAGCAACAAGCAAACAAAGGGCCCTATTCCTCCCTTGCTCTGCAGGACGGACTTAAATGCTCTCAAACGCTGACTGGATAAACTCAGAAAGCAAGAAGAGGCTGCGGAGGGACCCC